TACCATAATTGTCTGGTACTAATATTGCCAGATCATTTTCTCCTAATATTTGTACCCAAGGTCTTCTTAGTTAAGTTATAGTTTTTTCTTCTGCTTCTTGTATCCTTTTTAGTATAAGTATACTTTCTCTACTTTTGGACCTCAGTCTTCTAACTCCTATGACTACTTGTGTCTAGGGCCTACTTCTTTCTGGGATCAGTTCCCTGTGCTCATTAGGTACTAGTACTTTAATCTCTTCTTTTTTAGGCCTTCTTTTCTTTTTAGGCTTTCTTTTCCTTTTTCAGTACACTCTGATTTGTTTAATTGTAATTCTCATGGTTCTTCCTTACTGTTCTAGTTCAGCTCCTTTCCAATTGATTCTTAGGTTCCTTGCACATAGGTAGTCTATTCCTAGTATTACATTGTCTGATACTATATTTGTAATAACTATTATTTGTTCCCATTTATTCACCTCTGTATGGATTGTTACCTTAATTGTATAGGTTAATTTTCCATTTGAATTGGTTGATTTATTAGCATTAGTGACAGTTCTAGACCAGTCCAATCTTTAAGCTTTAAATCCATTTCCTTTTTGAAATGATTTATCTATTACTAAACAAGTACTCCCTGAGTCTATGAGTGTAAGCATTTGTATCCATTAGGTTCTGTTATATATTCATATTACTATTTGGGGATGTCTTCCCTACATTAGTAGGCCAGACTCTCCTTTGACCTTTCTAGTTCTAACCATTACTAGTAGTCTTGAACAAAAGGTGAATTGTCCAAATCTTTTGAATGTTGTCCTTTGTATTAGTAAGTGTATCCCTAGTTGTTCCCAGGTATATCACCTCTGTTTACTGTCCATTTTGTATGATTGTAATGTATGTATTAGCTGTATACATTACATTGTTCATTAAAGTTTGTCTTTCTAATTTGATTAGCTGAACACTGTCCTTTTTAGTGTAGTGGTTTCCCTCCATTATTTCTGTCTTTTAAATAAATAGTCAGCAGTCTACAGTCTCTAGCCTAGTGTCCTGGTTGTCTACAATTGTAACATCTTGTGGATGCTGAAGGTTGTCTATCTGTTTTTGGTTTTTGTTTTTTCCAGTTTTGTTTCAGTTTTAGGTTAAAGCTTTGCATGTCAATATCCATTATGTCTGGATTTTTATGATTTCCTTAAATTGTTGAGTAATAAACAAAAGTGTCTCCCTATTTATATTTTGGTTTGTAGTTGGTAGAGTGTATGAGAGTTTGTACTTCTATTGTATGGAGGTAGTTTTGAATTCTCATTATCTACTAGCTAAGACTTTCTTTGTATAGTTTATCTGTTACAAATATAATTCTATAGTAGACTGAATCTGGTAGGGACAATATAAACTTTGCTTTCCTAGCTGTATTAGGATATGTGGTTGTTAGTACTAATAAGGTTAGCCTTTAGAATTCAAGTAGGAAGTTTGACAAGTTTTCCAGACAATAGTCCTTGCATTTTATTCCTACTAGTTTCTAAAGGTTAGCTGTGTCTTCATCTCTTACCATGCCTGTTTGATAGCTTTTTAGAAACACTATAAATTTTCCTAGGTTTGAAAACATGCCTAGTACTAGAGGTTACAGTTTGGTTATAGTTCTATTACTTTCTACCTTGATTTGTACATAACTTTGAATCTAATCAAATACAGTATCTTTGAGTAATAATGCTAAATAATATGCTTGTTTGGTTTTGTTTGTTATTCTGTTTAGTTCCAGCTGGATCATGTTTGTACTGAGCCAAGAGTTAAATCCTTCATTTGGTTTTCCATAATAATATGCTAATTTTAATTTTGCTACATTAGTAGCAACTAATGTTAATACTGTTGACAGTGTGTTACCAGTTTGGGTGGATGTAGATACTAATGGATTTGTATTAGCCATTAAGTGTCTACTAATGAATCTTGTAAGAATGTCCTAGTTTCTTCTGTAGCTGTTTTATAGGTTACTTCTACTGTAGGTTCTGTAACTGTTTCTTCAGCTATAGTTTCCAATACTATACTATTCATTTCCATAGGTTCCCCTAGTAGAGGAACTGGTTTCAGAACTTTATCCATTTGAAACATTGGTCTGAAGGTTACTGTTATGAGTGTCAAATTTCTTGAGTTCATTACTGACATAAATTTCTCTAGCATTCATTTGACTAGTCTCATGTTCTGTATTACTTGTTGAGTATTAACACAAAACTGTGTCATATTTTCTATAACCTTCTGACCATATAGTACTACTTTTTCTTCTAGATCTTATAATTGCTTCTAGCTTTCTAACTAGTGTTTGTATCCTTATTGTGTCAACTTTAGCTCTACATCCTTAAGTGCTCCTTTGAGTCTATAAAGCATATTGTATAGCTTTCCTATTTTGTGATTTTCTGACACACCTGGCCAGTCAATTATCAATCCTCTGTGTCTTTCCAAGTTTCAATGTATATTCATGTGTTCCAGGCTCTACTACTGCTTGAGTCTCCTTATTTGTTGTTCCATTCCTCCTGTTGTCTCCTCAGGTAATCCTACATAGCTAAGTAACATAGTAACTAGGGATAGAGGTGGGAATCTAGTCTCTATTAGAATAGTCCTACAGTATATTGATTCAGGAATGGTCCTTAATAGTAGTAAGGACCCTCTCTTGTAGTTACTACTAGATAGAGAGGCTGATAGTCTGTACTACTACATACTACTATAAAGATGGTTGTTTCAGTATATTCTGGTTTGTTTTGTGAAGCCAGTTTATACTTTTTGTTTTAACATATTACTGTTACATTCTAGCAGATCATTTGAAACAGGCTACAACAGTATAATACTTTACACAAGAAGTGATTGTACTTAATAACTGTTGTTATGAACTATATTTCTGTGTAGGAATTACACCTCTTGTTGTAGGTTCACAGGCAATAGGCAGGTCCTTAACCATGTAATTACTAGTCTCAAGTATAGCCTCTGTCTTTGCTTAACTAGGAGTATGTCCCTAAGAGTGTTGATAGTACTTACACTTAGTAGAGGAGGAGTTAATGCCCCTAAGAGTAGTTCAATGTGTTTAGATTTCAAGGTAAAGAAGGTAGTATTGTTGTGTAAAGATTTTATATAAGAGAGCAAGTATGTTGTTACAGCTAGTTCACAAGCTGTCCTTAAATAAACTGTTATTGAGTATGATACTCTTTACACAATAAATGAGGCTCTTTTTATACTACTTTAATTAAGACTTTATCCTCCTATTTCTTTGTGAGCTAAGTGGTTCTGTTCCTTAGGTGGTCTGTATGTTATGTTACAGTATTTTTAGTATGTCACCATATGTTTTTATGACACATATTAGTGATTTTGTATGTTTGAGATGTTGGTTGTTTCTGTTTCAGAATAAGGATTAATGTTGAATCTTTCTTACCACATGCTTCTTGTACAGCCTTCATGTTTGATTCCTTGAGAGTGCTTCTCTTCCTTGGCTAAGTTTAATTAGCCTTTTTGTGATTGGTGCCATTAATTCCAAGTTCCAGGTGGCTCTGTCATCAAGCACCTGTATAGTATAATAACCTTTGTATAAGGCTTGCCTACCTTACACCATTTGTTGAGTACATAGGGGTCTTCAGATCTGAGTTCCATAGATCCAAGGTGCTTGTGTCCTGCTAGTATTATCAGGTGGTGATCTCTGTATATTACTTTAATATTGTACTACTTTGTTGGTCCTTTGTAATGACTAGTTGTAAGTACAGTGTAACTGTGTGTTCTATCATCTTGAATAGTACTCTATATTAAGGCAAATATTTGTACTGTATTTTCCTTGTAATCTTGGTGTGTCTTCATTAATAAATGTAATTGTACTACTTTGCATTCTTCATGTATTATTAGGTTATATATTTTGTATATATGCATTTTGAACAATGCTTCCTTCCTTTTGTGTTTTATTCCTTCATGTATAATATGTTGTAGTCAGTGTTATGGTTGATTGAATAGTATTTGATATGCTACTACTTGTATTGTGTTTCTTTCTGTTTGTATACTTTGTGTTTTGTGAATTTGTCAATCCTAGCACATTTGATATGTCATTATCATTTGTATGCATTCTTGAAGTTGTGTCATGTGATTACATTTCTGGCATAGTCTCTGTGTACTTTACAGTGAAGTCTGGTTTTCTTCATTATGTGCCATTACAAATCCTTCCAAATCCTTTCAATTCTAGTAATACTAGTAAGTCCTGCTTCTCTTTAAGTTTGATGTGCAGTTTTCTGACCACTTTTGTAAGAGTACTGGAACTATCTCTGCTTTTAGTAACATACTTGTAGAGATTACTAATCACCTGTAAATAATCACAGGTGAGTTTTTCTCAACACTCAAGCAGTTTCATTGTGTGTTCTAAGCTCTTTCTTGTGTCTTCCAACTCTTTCATTACAGCTGAACAGGCTGTAGACCTTGTTCTGTGCAATTCTGGCACAGGAGGAGGTAGAGGGCCTAAAGTATTAAGGCAAAGGTGATTTCTTACTCTATTTAATTGTTTTTTACATGATCTTGAAGCTACCATAGCTATTATTTAGTAGTTAGTTTCATATAGTTTATTTTAGTTATTTTTTTGAGAATTACCAGTGGGTGTACAAATTAAAATTGCAAATTCTGTCATTTTAATCCTCCAGGCTACATTGAAATCTGCTGTGTCCAGACACACAAGACTGTATCATTAGGTAAATCTTCTGCTTCTACTTCCTACAGATCCAATCAAGGTTAACACTTCTAAAGTTGATTATAATTCATGTAAATCTATTCTAAGAAGAATTACAGAAGGAAATTAGCTATAAAAATTATTCACAAAGATATTAGTAGTTTTGTGTGTAATTTTAATGTTTCTCACTCAATTTTTAATAAATTTTAATTTCCCTCTGTAAAAAGTTTCTTTACTATCTCAAAATTATTATTATTATTATTTTACTATTTTAAATTACATGTGGAGAGTGGAAAACACTCTCACAGCAAGGTATCTAGAGGCCGGACACACCGCACGCTGACCTAATTGATGGATCACTTACTTTGAAACCGTGGGAACGACCGCGTCGTACAACCGAAAAGCGGACCCCCATATGCATTGACCGTGATTCCATATTTACGTAGATCAATTGCTTAATTGCACATGAATGCACAGGAATCAAGATGCGGAAATGAGCACGCGAGATTCGATGCTGTAGTAATTGCAAAAACTTACAAGCAGACTGCACCAGACCACGAACCGCAAATTTCGAAGCCGAATATGCTGCAATATTCGGCCCACCTAAATGGAAGTAAGCATGCGGCGCCAAGAGGAAAACGATAATGAATTCTCTATACCTTGTTTGCCTGCCGTCGAAGTCGCGGCTTGACAAGTCACAGTTATGTTAGCAAATAATGCAACATCTCTAAGGTATATAGCAGACCTATCAATCCGCCACGTCCCTGCTTCACCATTTGCAAACCCGCATACTTGAGACAGAGGAAAACTCCGCGGACATTGATAGCGAGAGTGGCTTCCAGTTTCTCAATAGGCACTAGAGAAAAGAACCGGCTATGAGATCGAACACACCGGACCGAGAGATCAAAGCTTACATTCAAGGATTCCACCTAAAGGCATGACCCCGGCATTTGCAACCATCTGCATCACGGATTAGAAACTAGCTGGATACTACAATGATGACTACCAACAACGTCTACACTCCCCAGGTCGCGGACCGTATTCTCGACTAGAACGGCGACGTCCGTTTCAGAGGATACATCACCTGGGACGGCAATTGCACGTCGGCCTTTCTTGCGAACCTCTTCGACAATGGTGTCTATCTCTTTCTGTTTTGCGTGTATATCGTTGACGGCGACGTCAAAGCCGTCATCCGCTAATCTATGAGTGATGGCATAACCAATTCCCTGTGCACGGCCTGTGATGATTGCAACCTTCGGCACGTAGCTATCGAACGGGACCTGCGAGACTGAACTCATTGCGAGCAGATGGAAGCGGGTTCAGCAAGCGCGACCTTCGTCCCAAAGCTCCAGAGGCGTACTTATAGACCTTTGGGCTTAAGTAGTACGCGCTTGTGAGCAGTAAGTCAATTTCACGTCATAGCCTTCCCGAAGTCCCAGGTTATCAGCCACCCTGAACATGATAGAATCTGATGAAAACCGAATCAAGATCACATAGACCAGATCAGCCGCAAATTTACAAAGCCAGGATTCGGCCAAATAGACTCCAACGAGTGAAACAAAGACAAGTGGTCCAACAGAAGGCTGAAGGCATGAAGTAAGATACGCGTCTGATAAACTCGACAAGCTGCGTGACTCACGTGATGTAACCTTACCTTCCTAATGCAGCCTCCACAATGAGCACGAAACTCGTCCATCCAGAGACCCAAAACTCAAAAAGTAGCACCATCAATTTGTTGTATTAAGCCTTCTCTACAAAATGATGGAACAGAATTTCTTAAAAGTGAATATTGGCTGAGTTATTTTGCAAACTATGTTTTTTGCTCTAAATGCTGTAATTATACTTTTCCAGCAGTCTGGTAAATTTTTTAATTTTTTCTTTCAGATTTCGCCACCATTAGATAAGGATATATGACAAATAATTGCTATATATGTATATTACATAATAATATTTATAATATATAGTATTTGTCATAATGATCGGATGGTGTAATAATCTTGATAAAGCTACAAAATTATAGATACAGACTGTAATGGTCAAATATTTTATTGTTGTAATATTTAACTCTATCTGAAAATAGGCAAGATTCTCTTCTCTGTATTATATAGAATCATCTTTGGCTGAGGCAAAACTTCAAGTTGAAGTTACACTCTGAAATTTCGCCGTAAGGGTCCTTCCTAATTTGGTAAGCGAGGGTTGTGACCGTGACGTGACTAGCTTGTCGAGTTTATCAGACGCGTATCTTATTAAAGCTGTAGAAATGCACGTGACTTCGGATAACCCATTACAGTGACACTTACTCTGTATCGACCCACTGCACGACTCAAGCAAGTGGCTTGCTTTCTGAATGCGTCTAGTACATCCCTGCAGTCCTCAACTCACTGGATCAGCTTTGCCTGCGTATTGCAGGTTCCATACCGGATATCACTCAGGGAACCATGCTTGTCCTGGGTATATTGAGACGCTCCAGGTAACGGCCATCAGTCAATCACACTCACGGAACTCGAGATATTAACAGTAGATAGTAAATATTCACCGGCTTGAAGCTCCAAGATAAATATGAGGTCAAAATATTCATACAGTCTGCATAAAGATAAGGATGTTCCGCGCCATTATCCATAGAATTAGATACTTCAATCAAAACGGAAGTATCCTCCGTCAACGGTTATGCTTTGTCCTGTATAGAGAAAACAACCGTTATTATTAGAGCGCATTTTGTGCAATCGGATAACAAACCGTTCAAGAAATACGATTCTGGTTTTACAAGGTAAGAGACCAAACTGGCAATTACCTCAGGCTCTGCCGATGTATTGCTATCCATAATCTAGATGGTGAATGGTAAGATACAGAGCTCTATACATTATTCATGGAGGTCGGCCAACCTTCTGAATACTAGGCATTGCTTCAAGCGCACCCATAGCTTGAGAACATCGCACATCATCAAGAACAGCTCAAAGGCGAGAAAGAATAAACAACTTACACATAGGCGTACGGATGGCTCCAGGCGCATACGTATTAACCGTAATTCCATATTGGCGTAGATCAACGGCTTCATGCAGTAAACCGAGGTTCAGTACAGGCAAGGATGATTGATGTCGAGGTTTATAACAGTGGCTTACAGGCAGATTGCGTGATACCGCGTATTGCGAACTTTGAAGCCGCGTACGCTGTTATATTTTGTCCACCTTCGTACCTTGGTAAGCGCTACAAAGAGGTTGCAATAGCTCATAATCTGATTACCTTGCTTTCCAGAAGCTGAACTTGCAGCTTAAAAGGAGCGCCAGCGTGAAGATCAGTTCCAATTTTCAAACCAGATCGAACAAACCTATCAATCTTCCTCCGCGCCCCTGCTTCACCATTTGCAGTGCCGCGTACTTGAGGCAGAGAAAAGTTCCACGAACATTGACCGCATGAGTGGCATCTAGCTTTTCAATGGGCACTAATGCAGTGAAACCATTCATTGACCCATACACATTGAGACCGACAAATCGAGACCTACGTTCAAGAAAGCCACCAGCGAGGAATATCCCTGCATTTGCAACCATCTGCTTAACAGGATCAGATACAAATTATGTATCACTATGATCGTTACTAACGACGTCTACACCCCCGAGATCACGGACCGCAGTCTCGACAATTGAAGCAACGTCTGATTCAGAGGAAATGTCACCCGGAACAGCAATTGCACGCTGGCCTTTCTTGCGAATCTCTTCAACGATGGAATCTAGCTCTTTCTGCTTTGCAGGTACATCATTGACGGCGACATCAAGGCCATCATCTGCGAGTCTGTGAGCAATGGCAAAGCCAATCCCCTGTGCGCTTCCGGTGACGATTGCGACCTTTGGTACGTAGCTAGCAAACGGGACTTGCGCAGTCGAATTCATCATAAAGAGATAGAAGAAACGAAAAATGGGCTTGACAAGAGCGTCTTCGTCCCATATTTATAAAGACATTTGGGCGGTTTCGAGGGTTATCAAACAAAAGAGTCGTAGAGTATGGAGATTTTATGTCATAGACCAAGCATCAAGTCCAAGAACTCCTAATCCAACTGTTGCGCCTTTAACCGACCTTTTTGAAGAAGACTGTCTAGGTTAGCTTGTGGCGCGTTAGGCACTGATATGGAACGTGCTGCATGCAACAAGGGGGTCAATATGGAATGGCTCGCAACGCTTTATACTTAAATCATCTAAGCCAGCAGCCAGCCAGATACCTGGAACGTTTAGTGTTAGTGGATGTAAGAGAGAATAAGACGCGTTCCAGAGAATCAGGGGTTACCGGCACGCGGCAAAGGTTTTACACGGTCACATGACGCCAAGTACCACTTTCAACTGACGTGCAAATGCTACCTTAGACACCTATCTGTTCGTCACACTGCACAGACATTGAGAGTCGAGACAGAGAAGCTAGCGGACCCAATGACTTGCAGAACTCCGTAAATACTTGGTGCCGTTTTAATATCAACATGGTGGCATAGCAAACGAGAAAGCAAATGAAGATGCTGTATTATTAACAGAAAACGAACGACTAAATGAGAGCATCTCCAGCCTCAACCGTTTCTTCTTGGTCTTCCCTAACGGCTGGTAGTTCTTAATCAAAACGTGTTGTTCCTCCATCAACGGTGATGCTTTGCCCTGAAGAATAGACTATCGTAAGTCGCTTTAAATAAATAATATGAAAAATATTTACCATTCACGAAATATGACTCAGGCTTCGCAAGGTATGATACGATACTTGCAATGCACTCGGGTACTCCTATTTGAGCAGTTGCAGAAACCTGGACATTTACGGTGAGCAACATCACAAAAGAACGTCTCTTTCTTTCTGAGTCCTTACCCTTCTGACAGCCTCTTCTCCGGCAGCAAGGACTTCAAATAAGTATCATCAGCTGTCAGTATATACGCTGATGCTTAGCAAGATATAAACCGTACGCATTGGCGTGCGAATGCCTCCGGGCGCGTATGTGTTAACTGTGATGCCATAATCGTGTAATTCGGTAGCTAAACAGATAGAGAGCATTATGTGGATGAAGAAAATGGGTAGGGAAAGCGCTGTGAACTTGACGAGCTACTCACAAGCAGATTGCGCGATGCCTCGAATAGCAAACTTAGAAGCGGAGTACGACACTATGCTGTTCCCTCCTAATGACACCGGTTATACGCAGAACAAACAATTACGGGCAGCACCCATTACATACCTTGCTTGCCTGCTACCGAGGATGCAGCTTCATAGACGAGTGAGGCCAATTCTTCGTTACAGTGATCATGGGTTAACACAGCGTACCAATCATCCTTCCTCCACGACCTTGCTTTATCATTTGCCGAGCCGCGTGTTTGAAGCACAAGAAGGCACCTCGGGCATTCACGGCAATAGCGGAATCAAACATTTCAACGGGGGCTGTTGTCGGAATCAATATCATTGGCGTCAAACGGAATTTTGGGGCTTACTCTCGACGAGCGGGCGAAGCGGCGCAATACCAGCGTTTGCGACCATCTGTATTGTCCCTGTGAGTCCGTTCAGATAAAAGGCGGCATGATAGTACTCGCAATGTCAATGCTTCCAAGCTCGCGTATGGCCGTCTCGACCATGGAGATTACATCTGCCTCAGAAGACACGTCTCCAGGAATGGCAATTGCACGTCGACCTTTCTTTCGTATCTCTTCAACAACAGCATCAATCTCTTTTTGTTTTGCAGCTATGTCATTGACCGCAACATCGATACCATCATCTGCAAGTCTTTGAGAGATAGCGTATCCAATTCCTTGAGCTCCACCAGTAATAATGGCGACTCGTGGGGTATAGCTAGTGAAAGGTACAGTTGACATCGAGGAATATTGCTGTTGAGTCTTGAACGAAGTGGCAAGAATACTGGGGCCCAAGAACAGGGCGAAGGCGCATTAAATAGATTGTCTGAGGCAGCACAGCTTATACTCAAAGACTAAGGGACATTGGGGATTCGGATTCGCAAAAGGTAGAATTAATGTGAGAACTAGAACTTGATGGGGGGTAGGACTTGTTCATGACACTATACGAAGTCCTGATGGGCGCTTGATATTTGTTTGACGTCTTGCTGAGACGATCAGGAACACTTCAATTTGCAGTACCAATTATTAGTCTGTGGACGTGCGAGAGAACCGGCCTTCTTGCGATTCAAAGCAAAGGACCAAAAATTCTAATTCTCAAAGGGTTGTAATTGATCTAATTGATCAGCTTTTCTGGTCATCGCCCTGGATGCGACTCGGAGTCTGTGTACTTTGATCCGTGAAGCCCTGCAAGGGCAAAGGCGTCATTCTCGAATCCTTGGCTCAGATACCAATAAGAATGCTCTTTGGAATATTTGTTTTTGAGTGGAAGACTTCCGTCTGCGATGGACGGGAAGCCATACATGAACTTGGACAAAACAAGGTGATACGTCGAAACTCACCCTCGAAACTATTGCAGTATCATTGGGGCATAGTAAGGTCCCGGATTGTCGGCAGAAGCTCCGAGTGGCGATAATTTCCATATTCAACTCGGTCAGACTGTTGCACTAGATTGTGGTGTTTTGGACACTAGCGAACTCTGGCCTCCTCGGGTATTGGACATGATCTCTTCTAGTTTATTCCCGGCTCAAAGATATGTTACTTGTGTTATGAACTTGCATAATACCAATCCAACGCTTTCAGAGGTCTTATTTACTCTAATGTGTAGTAGTTAGTATTCTTTATTTGCGTATCCAAATCTTGCCTTCAACTTGAAGGAATTACCAATTGCAATGAGGTGATAGTTAACTTTATCCAACTAGAGTGTAAGCGGCGTCTTGAATTAATAAGCCCTAGTGAGTAGCTATTACTCAAGCTGCATATTTGCTTGAATACAACAAATAACAGTGGATTTCCCTGTTCCATGTAATTCTGTCGGTCTTAATTATTTTTGAAGTCTTTTAAACGCCCTTACTGACTTAGTAACGGTTGCTCCGCATTCAGAAAGATAATAACATACAGTCAATGGTTCTAATTTGCTTCATCTCAGAGACAGAACTGACAGTCAACAAATAAACTCTGCTGTTGCGAGAAACGCCAGAACTCAGAAAATTCCATCATTGCATTATAAATATATTAATTTCATGGCCATATCCAATTTCTACCTCGAAGGCCATACTTTCAGTCGTAACGAATGGATCCTCCATCAAGAGTAACACATTGACCTACAAGACAAGAGCTCAGGGTTGTTCAAGGTGACGCTTAATTGAGATAAATACCGTTTATGAAGTAGGATTCAGGTTTAGCATAGTACGAGACAAGACTAGCGACTGTCTCGGCCTCGCCGACTACCGGGTTCGCAGACATCTGGAGAAAGGAGGACATGATGAATTAGGAGGATCGGACACATCATGTGGATCGAGAAGGATGAATTACCGATTTAATGGACCCTTCATCGGATCCAGCGACTTGATGAAGCATAGTTGTTATTAGGATCAGGAATCAACAGAAATAATACTGGTCAACCCACACATGGCAGTGCGGATGATTCCAGGTGCATACGTATTGACCGTTATTCCGTATTTGCGTAGGTCAGCAGCTAGCGGACAGACAGAGATCAGGCTGCCGAGAAAAAAATGTACGTTATGAATAGTAGCATACAGGCAGATTGCGTTAGTCCTCGAACTGCGAATTTTGAAGCGGAGTAAGCCGTTAAACCCAGACTTCCTGAGACGAAAGAATCAGTAGAGGTAGAGGTAGACATTAGATTGGCGGAAATTACAGACCCATCTTTCCCACTACCGAGCTTGCGGCTACATTTGGATGTCTTGTGAAGGCTGCATCTAAGAAATCGGACAAAGTTAGGAGACAGACCTATCAGCCTTCCGCCTCGACCCTGCTTAACCATCTGTGCTGCAGCATATTTAAGACATAAGAAGACGCCACGATTGTTGACGGCATGGATAGCCTCAAAGTTCTCGAGTGTGGCTAACAGCAAAATCAGGCGCATTGCAAATCACTTTTGCTATTAGAACACAGTACTATCAAGGATGGATTTATGCATGGCAATTCCTGCATTCGCAACCATCTTTGCATGGATCAGAAGCGGTCCCTAGAGCGTATGAAAGAAACTCCTTACAATATCGACACTTCCTAGTTCACTTACTACTTTCTCAACAATGGAAATGACGTCCGCTTCGGAGCATACATCTCCTGGTACGGCGATGGCCCGACGGCTTTTCTTTTTAATTTCTTCTACCACTGCGTCGATCTGTGGTTGCTTTGAGGGGATATCGTTTACAGCAATATTAATCCCGTCGTCCGCGAGCCTGTTTGCAATAGCATAGCCGATACCCTGAGTACCTCCAGTGACGATTGCAACTCGCGGTGTGTAGCTGGTGAATGGAACGTCTGGGACGAGTGGCTCCGTCATTTCAGAGGAAAATGAGCGTCGTTCCTACTGGACTAAGGACGCAGAGTCAACGATATATATATCATAATCTAGAAGCCAACCTGTATCACTTGGAGTACCCCATCGGTACAACCGGTGCACTGTAGCCCGAGAGTTATCATCAGGAGTAAAGAAGCTCGGTTGCCATACTTAACAAGGCCAAGTGACCAGGACTAAGGTCCGATAATTCAATGTGATTTGACGAGCAACCAAAGAGACGCTATTCCCGATCCTTCTTCGGCTTGCTTCTGCAGAGAAGAGATTATACATGGCCGTGACATCATGTATGTAGACCGTCTATAGCCACCTTAGAAAAGCTGAAGACAATTTATCCTCAGCTGATCGCTAGCTATTGACGGCCAGTTTAAACGGGAACAAACGAATACCGATTCAGCAGCTCCAGAAACATTGAAACTGAGTTAGCTGTACAAATCCAGCAAGTCGAGATCAGCGGCGTCATGGGAGTCATAAGACTCATATGCATGTTGCACAGTTACTGAAATGTTCAAACTTAAACTAAAGCCGACGCTCCGCGTCGATTGAATGCAGGCGTTTGAACCTAGATAACGCATGAATGACCAAATATGCATTCACCATGGGAAACTTGCTAAGGAATACCTACAGTATATTGAATAGAACCATTTCCTAAGCGTAAGATGTATGATCGGTCAACTTCTTATCTTCGAGATGCGGTCAGATGATATTGATGTGCCTCTGCCGGGTTTACGTTCCATCCTATCTGCATGCTCTTGCAATTATGCATCATAAATTATAAAATCCGTCAATAAAAAAAAGAATGGGGATAACGGTTGAACGGGTGACTACTACAATCGACTTCATTTGCAGACAACATGCAAGTTACCAATGGTACCTAAGCTCGCAGTGAGGGATCAGAATTGACTCTTATTGACAACTTTGTATATGCAGTTTTCTTTGACAACTGTTCCTTATATGTACTTAGTCGAAATGTGTTGCTCCTCCATCGATTGTTACGCTTTGCCCTGAGAGATACCAGATTATATTCTAGTAGGGTACGAATCAAACTAGAACATACCATTTATGAAGTATGATTCCGGTTTAGCAAGGTACGAAACGAGACTAGCTACGTCTTCGGGGTTTCCATGTGGCAAACGTTCGGTAATCTGGAATGAAATAATCAGCTCAGAAAGCAATTAGACTTCAAATGTATAGAGAACGCCTTGCCATTTTAATTACATCTTCAGATACTTTGTTCTCGTGTACTTGGTGCAGATGTCTATATCAATATGAATACTTGTGCTTCATGGGTCGTAATGCTCACACATATTTGTCCGAATAGCTCCGGGAGCATACGTATTGACTGTGATGCCGTATTCACTCAACTCCTTTGCTAATTGGAGAGAGAAAGGGTTACTTGGTATGATATTTAAATGAAGGTAGCAAACGCACACATAGACTGTGTCATACCGCGTACAGCAAACTTTGAAGCCGAATAAGCCGAGTTTCCAGAGTACCCTAGCACGGGTCCGTCAGACTTGTATGGAGGGTTTAGATGCAAGGTTACCTTGCTTTCCTGCCATCGAGCTCGCGGCTTCAAAGAAATACGATCGAGTGAGATACGACAGAAAAGAGCTTGGACTTGTAAGCGAACCTATTAGTCTTCCACCGCGACCCTGCTTGACCATCTGTATTGCAGCATGCTTTAGACACAAGAAGACACCTCGTGTATTGACAGCGTGGATAGTCTCGAAAAGTTCAAGAGTAGCTAACAGTGAAAGCCTGTCAGTAAACTAGCAGAAGAACAAAATGTATAAGGCCTTACTCTCGAAGACCGACTTGATTGCAACAATTCCCGCATTCGCAACCATCTTTACAATGGATAAGCCATTGTCAGAGCGAGTAAGGTGAAGTTTTTACTCACGATATCTAAACTTCCTAGTTCATTTACCGTTCTTTCTATCATGCTAATCACGTCCGCTTCGGAAGACACGTCTCCGGCCACGGCTATTGCACGCCGTCCTTTCTTGCGGATCTCTTGAGCAGCAGCATCGATTTGTGCTTCTTTCGAGTGTATGTCGTTAATTGCGATGTTAATGCCATCATCAGCGAGTCTGTAGGCGATAGCAAGTCCAAGTCCCTGAGCACCACCAGTAACTATTGCGACTTTTGGCACATAGCTACTGAACGGGACTGCTGGTTTGGATTTATCCGCCATTACAAGTAGAGTATCAAAAGTAATGCTCTTTGAGAGAGAGATGCTGCTTGAGCACATGAGCGACTAGCATCTCTTTTAGCACTTTAAATACTATGGATTCTACTGAGTCTCACCTTTCATAGTGCTTTGTAATTGTACCCATGGGTGGCTGCACATACCACCCTCGCCGCCAGGACGCGTCATGAGGCAAAGATATAGAAGTCAATTCGGTCCGAAGTGGACGGCTTCGGTTCTATTGATCAGCCAGACCCCACTTTATCTGAGTCGGGTTGTGGGTTTATCACCATATGTAACGTTTTTCCATTCAGATAATAATATGCGCAGAACTCTTCGTTGAATCAGCTTTGTAGTTCATAACTACATCTCATGAAAGGAGTGAAGGAGAGAGACCTTTTGCACTCTACCGGCGATTCCATGGATCGTCACGTAGTCTGTGGACAGCAATACTGACTAATCAGATCCATATCTGTTCTCAGCCAGGTTTCCGTCGAGATTTTTTTTAAATATAAGGGCGTTTTTATCATGGGCAGCGGAGAGACAGCTGTGAAAGGCTTGAAATTCGAGTGCAATCCAAAGGTCTCTTTGCTATTTAGTCACATCATATGATTGTGACACCTCGCGACTGTCAACACAGCAGAGGCCGCAGAGCTACATCATTCTACGCATTTTCGGAAATTTCGCCTTTGGCAAAATCGACGCCATCTTAAATTATGAACACTGGGAAAGGTATTGACACCTACGCGTTAAATTCATAGTCCAGAGTTGCATGAGAAACCGAAGGGCAGCAAGTAAAATTCCGTAGATAATATCAGTTTCGATTTGTCAAGGGGTTCAGAATTTGGGGCGAACAGCACATTTATAGCAGAGAATACAAGCGTAATTGACAGACGTGCAAAGCATGTGGAGGTGAGGAGGGCTGATGCGATTTAGGCACGGGGATCACAAGCGGAGTTGTAAAAGGGGTTCTCGAAGGACGAGGGAAAAAGGAAGTTAGAGGATTCAGGATCGAGAAACGACATATTTAAGCCTGACATCGGGAACGTAAAGTCAAGCTGCAGCGCATTGAAATCCAGGCCAGTGAGAGGCACACTGTCGTCGAAGTAATACCCCGTGGCGGGACACGCGGTCGCTGGCTCAGCGTTGAAGAACATAGGCAGCCCTAGTTTGTCCGTACTCATGGTATTATTGTCCACCGGGAAATCCCAGTTGAACAAATCGGGAGGAATAGCATACATCGACTGCGGTGCGGGGAATGGGACCGATGCATCACTGGGCTGTGGATCACTTAAGTGAACTGGCACGCCGTAGTCAAACCATCACGACTTACTGTGACGGGAGTATAAATGGTCGGTGAAGAACAGCTCTGCGGCGACAGGTGCATCGCACTCGACGTTGAAGGAGACATGTCTGTTGCATCGAACACCGTGTCCACGGGGGAAGTGAGGCTTCGTGGAAGGTAAGGAAGTGCGGTTGATTTTGGTAGACTCGATTGGCACGTCTTTTTTGCCCTGCTTCTCCTCTTCTTTGCAGGCACCTTGGGTCCCTCAACATCAAACCGGACCTTCTCCTCCTGTGCCTTCTTGAAGAATACCGCACGATCCGACGGTGTCAACTGCGATTTCCATACTTCCGCAACATGGCGAGATACATCGTTTTGGTGAACCATACCTGGAGGAACCTGCCCGGTTGCGATGAAATGCGACCGAAACAGGATGAATGCATTGGGTGAACGACGTTTCTTTGAGGTCGGCAGGATCGTGGATCGCTCAGGAGCAATGTCTGGTGATTGATGCACATAATCCGAAGAGCTTGAGTGGTCTCCATAGCTACGAGAATTCATTGTGCCTATACTGTACTTAAGAACCGTTGCAAAGGCTCACACAGAAAAGAACACCTACCTATGTGATGGACAAAGGTCATTTCGCCATAAGCATGCTCACGGATCGGAGGCATAGTGTAGAGCGTTCGGGTTCGCAAAGTCGAGTGTGGCTTGGGGATGCATAATGGGCTTGCACAGACGCGCTTTTGAGCCTACAGGACAGAGGAAAGTATACTCAAAGTATGGATACTCGAAAAGGCAGGACATCGCGTTATAATCACCAGCAGGTTCACCCTCGATGAAATTCACACACGTGTTGACAGATTACATCATGCATAACAATCTAACTTACCTGATTTGTAGGCAGCGACTCCATTGTGTCCTTACTTAATTCTCAATTGTTCATAAAATCAATACACAGCTTCCTGAATCCCAATTTATATCATTACTACAACGACTTCTCCAGTGCTAATAACTCTGGGAGCCTAGTTTGCTGAAGAGCATCCACCTTTTCCGCTGACACGGGAACAAGAGGACCTCTCACTCTACCTGACCCACATCCAAATTCCTTGACTATAATCGCCTTCAATGCAGCAATCCCACCGATTCGCTTTACTGCCCAATCACCATGAGCAAGTAAATATTGTAACTTCAATGCCTCGTCCGTCTTTCCTTCCCTCCATAACCTATAAACTTCAGCGTGTACTTTGGGGAGGATGTTAACGCTGGCGCCGATAACTCCTGCACCTCCGACAAGAAGCGAAGGAACGAATACGTCGGAGGTTCCTGGGAACACAGCAAACTCGGATTTACGGAAGGATGAAGTGAGGTGAGTGAGCTTGCCAACATTTCCGCAGGACAGCTTCGTTCCGACAATGTTCGGATGTGCAGCAAGCGTTGTGAGCGTGTCTGAGTCAAGGTCAATACCTGCCGTAACGACGGAAAAGTTGTAAATCATAGTCGGGATTGGTGATCCATCTACGACCTGTCAGTTAAAAAAATATTCAAACTTCAGTATCGATATCATTCACGTTACAGCTTGGTTGGTTATGTGCACTAGTACCATCACTCCGTAGACGGAGAAAATACGTCAGTGCTACTAGTACTTCGGCATCTGCCTCAATACTTAACGAAAGTATAGCAAATGCCACACTTACTTCAAGTATACTTTACTGGTGTAAGTCTCAATGTCTACTTTTGAGCCGACCTGGAAGATAATGGGTTATCGCGGCGAGAAGATTGACTTATCAGCCTTCAATCAGTTCCGGCGGATCTATAAGTGTGAACAACCTAAAATTATCGCAATATCTTATTCCAAAATAAGCACGTACACGCACACCGTATCTTATATATTTCCCTCATCAAATGTATATTGTTTAGTAAAAATCTGTCTAAAGTACACTGAGCTAATGTTTGAGCCTTCAATCAAAACGATAGCCTCCATCAGCACCGATTGTTTGCCCTGAAACAACAGTGTAAGCATCGTCAAGGAAATCCGAGCGGTCTAAGATTATGGAGTAAGTGTACTGTTAACGAAGAAAGATTCCGGTTTCGCTGGGTACGACACCAGGTTCGCAATATTCTCGAGCTCTCCCAGAGGGCAACCTGCAAGCGGGCCCATCGCAGGTACATACTGGAAGTAAACATGATTCAGAGGAATCGAAGTCGAAAAGAACTGTAAGCTTGACCTGCCTGGGATCGGAGATTCCAGTATCTTATTTGTCTTCGTCAACATTCTTATCGTATATGAGAGTAAGACGAAACGATAGACATACCCATGCTCGTACAAACAGCTCCAGGTGAATACCCATTTACTGTAATTCCATACCTCTTCAACTCGATGCCTAATACAATTACGACCAATGTCAAAGCACAGTCCTTCTCTTAGTGTTCGAAGAATTCATGATGGATCACACAGAAATCTTACAGGCAGTCTGCACGATTCACCGCACAGCGATTTTAAATACCGAATACGCAACCAAATTCTGCGATGCTGCGGGTCATTAGTTAGATAATCTAATCTAGGAGAATTTTAAGGTATTAATAACTTTGTTTCCCACTTCAGAATTTGCAGCTTTGTGAAGTCTAACGGTTAGATTATAGCAGAACCATTGGTTGAAAGGAGACCAACCGATCAATCTTCCGCCCCGACCTTGCTTTGTCATCTGTAACGCGGCATACTTGAAGCACAAGAAGGTACCACGTGCATTGACCTCAAGGATGTTGTCATAACTTTCAACGCTTGCTAAAAGCGATTAATTGAGTTTCGTTAGAGATTGTAACCTTACTGAGAAGGAATCAAAAGCTTACAATGTCCACACTTCCTAGCTCCTGCACGGTCTTCTCAATGATAGCGATCACGTCTGCCTCTGAGGACACGTCTCCTGGAGCACTAATTGCACGCCGCCCTTTCTTGTGCAAGTCTTCGACAACAGTTTGATCTGATCTTGCTTCAAAGCAAGATCATTAACAGCCACGTCGATGCCATCATCAGCGAGTCTGTGAGTAATGGCACATCCAATAGCCTGTGCGGCACCAGGAACAATTGCAACACGTGGAGTATAGTCACTGAACGGAGTAACTAGTGCATGATCGTCTTGAATGGAGCGGTTCAATCTTGAGCTTGCAATAGAGAAAGGTGGGGAAAAACAAAGGTGAAGTCAACGAAGCAGTTCCACGAGCCGAGATAAATATCAAGGAAGATCGAGGGAACCGTGTAGCCGTCAGCATCATGTCATGATACATAGACCTGGATGATAAGATTGAACGAGAACCATATTTAAGGTCTTAAATGACGCTGAAGGCACGCACGATCAGATCGAATACGCTAGTTTTCCGCATATCAGCGCATTAATAGATATGAGGAAAGTTTATGGATCCGTGTTGTCCTGACAATACACGCAACTATGCGAATGGAATTCGGAGATTTGTTTTGTCCATTGCTGCATTCGTTCACCTATTCACCGGAGGGCGCGCACTGCGCCATAATCCAGGACCGTGACTGGAAACCTTGACCCCAACAATCAAGGAATGGCTTATCCAAGTCCAATGGTGAGAAATTAAGCCACAGTCAGCAGAGCATATATTCACGTAAATCCGATTCTACGGAAGAGTGTATCAACAGCACCTGCGATTTCGACGGATAGTTTCGGCATACATGCATCCTATTTCTCTCTTTTTCCTTGACAAAAGTATTCAATCGAAGCGGAAACCTCCATCAGCGGTAATGGCTTGCCCTATATAAAAACAGCAGTTAGTCCCAATCGAGACGGTCTGTGAGGATGCAATTTTGCATTACCGTTTATGAAGTGAGACTCGGGCTTCGCCAAGTACGATACGAGACTAGCAATGTTCTCCGGCTCTCCATTAGGAGCATTGGCAAGCAGACCGAGTACCAAATCACGTTGGAAATAGCACAATCCAGGAATACCCGAAAGTAAGCATCAATCCATAGGACGAGTTCTCTTCCAAGAAAACGGGTGAGACTGACCTGCTTAGTATCCACAACCACTCCAGTCGCTTGATATTTCTATAAGTATTTCGCCACGCACACAGTGTATTTATGCTTTTGAAAGAAGTCACGAACATATTCCTGTCGGGATACGTCCAGGAGCATACGCATTCACCGTAATACCGTGTCTGCGTAATTCAATAGCTAAATCAATCACAGGGCGTATAAATATGTGCTACATTTTGTTGTACAGCTGAAGATACCACTCACCTGCGGTCTGCACAATCCCACGGACAGCGAACCTAGAGGCACAATAAGCTGTCAAATTTTGTGAACCTATATTCAAGCAATCAGCAACGATTACGTGCGTAAAGAACTATACTATAACCTTGTTTGCCCATGATGGAGCTCGCGGCTTTTACCGATCGTTAGCTACCTAGTTATGTTGTTGAAATATGTGCCCACCGATGAGTCTTCCGCCACGTCCTTGCTTTATCATCTGCAGCGCGGCACATTTAAAGCACATAAAAGCGCCGCGAGCATTAATTCCAAGGACACTGTCATAAGTATCGACGCTTGCTACGGATGACTGATATAGCTCAATCGACTCTTCATTAGAATCAAGGCTTACTCTGAAGGAAGCTACAAAGCCGTGCAATTCCTGCATTCGCAACCATCTGCTCTCAAGTCAGTTCTGCACTTGGACCTGAAACTAACGGCTTACAATATCGACACTCCTTCACGGTCTTCTCAATAATGGCGATTACGTCTGTTTCTGAGGATACGTCTCCTGGAACGGCAATCGCACGCCGACCTTTCTTACGCAATTCCTCGACAACAGAGTTGATCTAGTCTTGCTTAGATGCGATATCATTAACTGCGATATCGATTCCATCGTCAGCGAGTCTGTTAGAAATAGCATATCCTAGACCCTGTGCACCGCCCGTGACGATTGCGACACGCGGCGTATAGCTACTGAACGGAGTGACTGGAGCCTGATCGTCTTGAGTGAAAAGCGAATCCATAGCAGACTGGCGACAGATAACGATTAAGGACTATTGGATCCGAGTCAAGAGGTAGTTCACCACCGTGTCCGAGAGCGAGATGGGACAGAGACATGCATGAAACATTGTTATTTTAAAGCACGCTATGTGCGACGAAGCCTGACGACCGCGGTATACAGATTATTGAATGATCCCCAACGCCGCTGGAACATCATCAACGGCATCAGCGTCAGACTCAGACTCAGAGAGAATGTGTCAAGTCTTTTGGGGAGTTAGAGTACGAGTGGAAACTCCCGAGAGCCTGTGGGAAACTAGTTTTCCACAGGTCATTTTGCTGGGGCTCTGGAGGCGTGGTAAACCTCGCGTGGACAACACTTAGTCAGCATATTAGTAATATCATTATAATGTTCCAAAAAGGAAATTTTAAAGAATTTTGTGTCGTTTACCTCTATTGAGCTGAAAATTTAGGTACAATATTAATTTCAGACATTGGTTATACTGCTGAGAACAATTTTATTGTGTTTTATAGTCTACCAGTGTTGAAACATACATAATAAATAGATATATCTAAGAGAAATAAAAAGAAAGAGGCAACTAATTACATTGACCAGGCTTTATTATTGTTCAAAATTTGTAAATTGTCTGAAGAGGTACTGGAAATATTGTCCATATCTATCACTTGTACCTCTCCAGTTTTATCAGAGTGTACTCCTTCAAATGAAGGAGTATCTGAAAGAATGTCAAGCAAAATAGGAGATGTTAACCTAATAAAATGACAGACATAGAGTATATGCACTCTCAAACTATCTATTTTCCTTGCTTTTCGTCAGGTTGAGGCATTTTTTCTTAATTTATCTACTGACATAATATTATGTATGACTAATACATTTGAGTTTTCCACAGGCCAATTTCCGGCAACCCTTGTGGTAGTGAGGTTTACCTCGTGGGAAACCTCTGTGGTAATCCTTACTGTGGGAAACTAGGGAGTTTCCACTCGTACTCTATGGGGAGTTGAAATTCCGAAAGCAGCGCGTTGATGACGATAATCAACTGTGTTTCACCGGTTCGCGCTCAGTTACCAGTTAACGCTCAGTTGTACAATACCCCCCTCAATTCTTAGTAAAATTTCTTGAAATTTTACATACAGGTAGCCTACAGTAGATGTAACTTAAATACGAAATTTGAGCAAAAAACAATGAGTTGAAGCTGAGATATTAGTGTTGGAATGTTAGAATTTTGATGATCAGCACTGATTTAGTGAACAGAAAGTTTTCCCACACACAACACATTTAATATTAATTTAAGGAGACACTATTTGTAGCTGAAACTTTTAGAATGAGTACTATATTATATGTAGTAACTATATATTTTTTTATATAATTAATAGTTAAGTATTAAGCTACTTATTAAGAATACGATTTTAAGTCCAATTTTACTATTTTCTATAATACAGAATTTATAGTTATAACTTACGAATTTTTTATTACAATAATTACTATTATAACTATATATAAAAATTTGGTACTAGTATTCTTTACATATTTTCTATAATATTCTATAATTTTAAGAGAAAATACTAAGAATTAAAATTATCATAATTAAATCAAAACTATATATATAAAAAGTACTATAATCTACTATATTACTTATTAGTACAATTTTTATAGTTAAAAAAATTGTAAAACATATGTATGTTAGAGGTTATATGTTTCAGTATTAAGTTATCACCATAGCAACTGACATAGTACAGAAAAAAAAAGTAAGAGAAGTTTTTTTTCTTTTCTTTACATTCATTATTATCTTCTCTTCCCTTTCAAAATCCTTTATTCTTCTTTGCTTCTTATAGCTAGAAAGCTTTCTAAATCCTCTTCTATTACCAGTAGTAAAGCCCTCTCTGATATAGAGGAGGCTAAGCTTAGTCAAGCTGTTTAGGC